CCCCCCCCCATGAAGGGCCTCTTGCAAGCACGCCGCTCTCGTCTGGGCATTTGTGAGCAGATGCTTCAGAGTCTGTTCTGTGAGCTTGCCACAGTCACGTAGGGCTCCGAGGCTGGTTTAATACAGCTTCAGTTATCCCTTAAGCAACAGTGTTTCTAAATCCATGCTATGGTAAGTGCACACGCTAAGCTTCTGTGCACTTTCTAAAATCCACATAGTGGTAAGTGTGCACGCCAAGCACTCTGCGCACTTTCTAATATCCTGTATGGTAAGGGTTACGCGTTGTCAGCCTTGTTCCCTTTCTCTGAGTTGGCTTAGGCCCCGGTACTCGCCTTGGGCTCTACTCAACTAGTGTGTCTCTGTTGATATGTTTTTAAAGCATCGCTCCCCTCACTGTAGAGGGTTATTTATGAGCATGGTGCTTTCGTCCGAGCGTTCGAGTTCTCTTCCCTTCTGATGAGTTGAATTCACCACTCTGTGGGCTGTTCTCGTGGTGGTGTTTAGCAGTGCTCCCCTCTATCAGAGGGTTGCCTATGAGCACGCTACCCCTTTTCTGAATTCGGAGTTCTCCTCTCACATGGAGAGTTGAGTTCTCTGTTTTCCCAGAGCACCTGGAACCAGCAACATCAGGCGAACTAGGCCCTTCCTCTGCCTCCATGGTGCGCTGAGTTTTTGGCTAAGCTTGCAGTACGCTTACCCTTCTGATTTCTAACGAACATGCTGTAGGTCGAGCCCCCTCTCGACTGAGAGCTAGGTGTGTTTCTCCCTCAGCTAGGTAACTTACTGCTAGCCATTCCAGCATTTTACCATAGATCGAGCTGATGGCTTCTCGAGTTGCCATGCTGCGGACGCAAACTTCAGACGAAGAAGTGGATGACGTGTTATCCCGGCGCCCTTTTATACTGTGATCGCGCAGGGTAATGACGTCATAGGCTGTCGCCGGCCAATGTTGTTGTCGTTTTTAGATATATGCTTCAGACACCAGTCACACTGAAGGTGTCCCCCCATAGCAACCTCTAGAGGACGCAGTGTCTCGTTCCCTTCTCAGGGAACCATGGTTACATATGTAACCTTAGGCGTTCTTAAAGTCAAGATTAATGTTTTCTTTTTTTTTGTGTTTTATTCAGTTATTTGTTTTGTTTAAATTAGCACTCTTATTTTGATTAGTTTTGTTTTATTTTGTGTTTTTATTATTTATTTATTTATTTTTGTTTTTGTTTTGTTTTATTTTGTGTTTTTACTTTTCTATTTTTTATTTTGAGATTTTTGTTTACGTTTACGTATTTATTTTAGTTAGTTTTTTCTTGTTTTATGTTTTTACTTAAAAAATTTTGTTTTGTTTTTTGTGAGCTTTTATTTTTATTTTTGTTTTGTTTCATTTTTAGTTTTTGTTTAGATTTGTTTTTTTTGTTTGTTTAATTTAGTTTTTTATATATATTTGCTTTACTTAATTTTTTAGTTAGTTTTATTCGTTTTACTTTTTGTTGTACTATTAATATTCACTTTTGCGGTGCCAATATGCAGTTTTTCATGTAAAAAAATCACACTAAATTGAATTAAAATTGATTAAGACTTAGCGCTTAGATTTAATGAGATTTGCCACATTTTTACTGTTAATTGAGGTTTTAGATTAATCAGTTTGCAAAAACTGTCTTATATGGATTACATTTCTCAATTTCAAATGAAAGGATATTGAATGGATGCAAAGATGATAAACCATTTATTTTACCCATGCAGAGGTGCTATGAGAGCGGAAGAGAAGTGATGGTCATACCGAAAACATCTGCCTCCTCAGATAACCAGTGGCTTGGTTTGGCCAAGTATGCATGGTCAGGGTAAGTAAGATGGTTTTCTTACTGAAATTAGTAAATAAGAATGCTCTAAACCTTGGTCTTGGTCTACAGTAGGGGTGTAAATCGGATGGTTCGTCACGATACGATACAATATCGATTCTCATATCCAGCGATACAATATTTGCCGATACTTCAAAAAATTATATGATACGATTTCGATACAGGAGAATATCGATCGATATACCGATATTATTATATTATATACCTATTTTAAACAACCATCTACATTTTTATTAACTCACAAATGCAACCGAAACATATAACATGAAAATTAATCTTAAATTTTCACATCCTGTTCCTCAATTGGGACATTCACAACAAAAAATAGTACAGAAATGTAATAATCAAATGTAAAATAATACTGCGTAGTCTTGACTGTATAGATTAAATATAGATTAATCCTTATTAGGGGTGGAACGATACATGTATTCGTATTGAACCGTCACGGTGCGGACATCTCTGTTCGGTGCATGAGGCCTTGCAATGAATACAGGCAATTCACCCCCAATCCAGAAGGGGGCGCCCGCAGCAATGCAACGCTGTTTGATAACTGGCCGCTAGCAGAAGAACAGCGAATGCCATGAGTTGCGCACTTGAAAACAAAGCCCACTAGACAGTGACCATGTGCTGATTCTGAATGAGTCTCTTACAGACTGACAAAGGAGTATACTTTAAAGGCTTGTGCACTCGACTGTTTACGAAATGGAGCTTTGTGCTCGTGTATCCTACCTCTCTCATTCGGCACAAATCCAAATATTCCATAATATTTCTATATTTGCGATGTAACGTATCTGAATGCTAAACTATTATTTATTATATAAATTATAGGCTTTGTACTTCAGTCACGTTCCAACGGTGACACAGAGGTGGACGCGCTGATGTTTGGATCACTGTATTTTATTTTGATAAAGTACCAACTGCGCTGTCAATTTAGCAATGCTTGAACTGATGCGTTTTGTGTGTGTGTGTGTGTGTGTGTGTGTGTGTGT